ATGTTCATCCTTCTGAACAAGAAAATGAACAATTTGAAAATACTGGCATAGAAAATGATATTGACAAAACAAACATCTCAAATAATGATCCAACTTCCTCAAATGAGGAAGATATTCCAAATACTGATAGAAACGTTGATAATTATGAAATTTCAATAAATTACGTTTCTACTGGAATACAATGGAATCGAAAAGATTTTGGTATTAATGAGATATTTGTCTATGCCGTTGCCACAAATGTTATGAATGAAAACAATGACAATGAGCCAACATCAATTGAAGAATGTCGGAAACGACAAGATTGGCCGAAATGGAATGAAGCTATTCAGGATGAATTAAAATCACTTGAAAAACGTGATGTTTTTGGACCGATAGTCCCTACGCCCAAAGGCATAAAACCTGTGGGTTTTAAATGGGTATTTGTGCGTAAGCGCAATGAGAAAAACGAAATTGTTAGATATAAAGCCCGACTTGTTGCCCAAGGTTTTTCTCAAATGCCGGGAATCGATTATGAAGAAACCTATTCTCCCGTAGTTGATGCAACTACATTAAGGTTTCTCATTGGCATGTCTGTTTTTGAAAGGCTGCAAATGCGCCTAATGGATGTAGTGACCGCCTATCTATATGGTTCACTTGATACAGACATTTACATGAAAGTTCCCGGTGGATTTAAAATGCCTGAAGCTTATAGCTCGAAACCTCGAGACATGTTTTCCATTAAATTCCAAAAGTCATTGTATGGACTAAAACAATCTGGACGAATGTGGTATAATCGTCTCAGTGAATACCTTCTCAAAGAAGGATATAAGAATGATCCGATTAGTCCATGTGTTTTCATTCGGCGATCAAATTCGGGATTCGCCATAATTGCAGTATATGTTGATGACTTAAATATTATTGGAACTCCCGATGAAATTGAAAATACTGCAAAATATCTTATGAAAGAATTTGAAATGAAAGATCTCGGGAGAACCAAATTTTGTCTCGGACTTCAAATTGAGCATTTGAAGAATGGAATTTTCATCCACCAATCCAATTACACCGAGAAAGTGTTGAAGAGATTCTATATGGACAAAGCTCATCCTTTGACTTCACCAATGGTCATTCGATCTCTCAACATACACGATGATCCATTCCGTCCACGAGAAGACGACGAAGATATACTCGGTCCCGAAGTACCATATCTGAGTGCTATCGGATCTTTAATGTATTTAGCTAATAATACTAGACCAGATATTGCATTTTCTGTAAATTTATTAGCTAGGTACAGCTCATGTCCAACAAGACGTCATTGGAACGGGATCAAGCACATATTCCGTTATCTCCGTGGTACAGTTGATCTTGGCTTATTCTTCCACAAAGACGCAAAAGCCTCTTTAATCGGATATGCAGACGCCGGATATTTATCAGATCCTCAAAAGGCGAAATCACAAACCGGGTACGTATTTACTTATGGTAATACCGCAATCTCGTGGAGATCTATGAAACAGACGTTGACAGCTACATCATCAAATCATTCGGAGTTAATTGCACTTTATGAAACCGGGAGGGAATGCGTGTGGCTGCGATCAATGATTCAACACATCCAAAATGAATGCGGTATAAAGCCTATTACTTGTTACCCGACTGTGATCTATGAAGACAACACCGCATGTATAGCTCAAATTAAAGAGGGTTATATCAAAGGAGACAGAACAAAACACATATCACCAAAATTCTTCTCTACTCATGATCTGGAGAAAGATGGGATGATCAACATTCAACAAATCAGATCAAGTGAAAATCCAGCCGATCTCTTCACCAAATCTTTACCCCCGAAGAAGTTCACAGAACTTGTACAGAAAATCGGCATGCACCGCCTTCAAAATTTATGTTAATTTCAGGGGGAGTATTTGAATGCACTGCACTCTTTTTCCCTTCATCAGGTTTTTATCCCACTGGGTTTTTCCTGGTAAGGTTTTTAACGAGACAGTACATCCAATACAACGACATTATATGTCATAATCTTTACCCCTTAATTTTCACACTAATCTTCACAATAAATTTTTAAATACAAATAACTATTCTCAAGGATGAACATTCAAGGGGGAGTGTTGTAAAACCCAGGAAATGACAAGTGTGAATTGTTCATCCTTGTCATCATCCTTGTAATCAGGACACTAAGCTTCTTACCATCCTTGTAATCATAGATAGATAGATGGCAAGTTTTAATGATGCCAGCAAGATGTGTAGAATTACTCCTTGATGATTCATCACCAAGCCCAACTAGTATAAATAGGGCTTGATCAATCACTTGTAAAGATACTTAAAAAAATTCAGAAACTCAGAAATTAAGAAGAAGTAATTCAGAGGTTTTTATCAATATATCTATCTCTTAAAGTTGTTCTGCATCTTCTTCATTTCACAACAAGTTTATACTTATTAGTTTTATACTTTAATAGAAGTATTTTAATTCTTACCAATAAATACTAGAATCTTCAATAACCATTATTAAATTTATAAAATCGCACTACAAACATTTTAATTTTAAAATATATATAATTTATTCCTATAATTTATGAGTTATCGATAGCCTCGAGTTCGATCGAACCGAACATCACTATGCTCAAATTTGGCTTGAATAAATATTCGATCTCAAAATCTAGCCCATGTTTGATTTCGAGCTCGTTAAGCTCGGGTCATTAAATTAAGTTTGAAATCACGTTCGAACTCGAGTAGTTTGAAAACAACTCGATTGGTTAACAACCCTAAGCAACAACAATTTTTTTACTGTTTAGCCCACCCCACTCCTCATTCCTGGATCCGCCCCTGGGGCCTAAATGGCTAAACCTAATATGTGATAGAATGACAATTTTACCCATCTCATGAGCCTTGTCACGAGCTTTATCGGGTTTTTCGAGTCGAGCCGGTTCGGCTCATTAATCTTATCGAGTAAAACAATGAGTTCGAGCTCGACTCGATTCCTGAAATAAACGAGTCGAGTCTGAGCTTTACCGAGTCGAATCGAGCCGAATTCGAGCCGAGCTCGATTTCCATAAGAGCACTAACCGCACATGGAGTTACCAGTAGACCCGGGCCGATTCGGCCGCGACTCGGTCCTAGGGGAATAGTGTGAAGTCCCATACGAGTCCGCTGAAATCCCGTTCCCGACTAGGTCCTGACCTAGTCTGATCCGCCTTGCCATTTTTCAAAAAATTTATTAAGAATAATGTTAAAATGTAAAAAAGATTATTTGAGTGCATAGCATTTGAATAATTAATTCTTCCAAAAAAACATTTGAATAATTAACACTTTAAAAATTATAATTCTAAGCTTACAAAACGAAAGACGTACAATAAAATCCCAATTTCAAACTATTATAAATCTAAAAACATTGAATTTGTACAAATATTACAATAGTTGGCATGATGGCCTGATGTGGTTATGGGACTAGATCGAGAGAGCCTAATTTGTCTAGACCCCATATTTGGACTCGCGTGTTCTTGCCCACAATCTAGACCAGCGGGCCCAAGCACAAGTCCATGTTTCACCAGTAGGCCCGTTAATGGATCAGGTCCAGACCCATACCCTACCCGAATCGGCCTTTGATGAAGGGAGTCCAACAAGATTGAAGTCCAAGATGATCTACCTACCTGGTTGGGTGTCTGTTTGCTAATCCAACCGGGATCCTGTTTGTCAATCCAATCGAGAGTTTGCCTACTAGCCCTCCCATAATCGAGCATATCAGCCCAAAAAGAGAGCCCGCCTACCAACCCAGACAAGAGTCCACCAGGTTTCAAGCCCAACGAAGAGCCTATTTGTCAGTCTTGTCAAGAGTTTGCATACCACCCATATGAGAGCCTGCCTACAAGTCGAGTAGGGAGCCATCCATTAGTCTGGCACGGAGGGAGCTACCTCCGGTTTAAGTATGACCCCAAATAAATCTGATTTTAATATCATATTAATGATATTAATATCGAAAGAGCTACGGCCGGGAACAATCAATCCGCTAATCATACGGATCACATATTTCTTGCCAAAAAAGAAACATGAAATTTATTTTGGGACAACTTAAAAAAGAAAATAAGATAACCAAAATAGGACATAGGAAGTAATTAATTAGCCATTTTTGTTACCTTTTTTAAACGCCTATGAAAGGAAATTGTAATTCAAATGACATGATACACTAGTTTTGGCAACTAAATCCTTTAGCAATTTTAATTTTCATACTTTCATTTTTCTACTTGAGTGTTCTGCAGTAACTTTTCGAAAAAACCTAAGAGCGTCCATTTTTGGACCAACATTGATGTTTTCATTGATAGATTTTGTTGTCTTTCACATCATTTTAGTAGGAATTACCCATGAAGATGGTTGGAATGTCCCCACGACGTGACCATGTCTCTATCCTAACCGTCCATACCGAGCAATCGAGTCGTACTGACTAACAACGTGCCCTCAACAACCAACATAGATGAGTGAATCATTCTCCGATGACCAATCAAAGCATATATCCAGCAGGGGTATTTGGGCAGTTCATTAGCAAGCGGGGAACCACCTAACATAAGAAGAGCCTAACATGACACTGCTCTAACAAAGCCACCACTTTGAAGGAGAAATAATCTGCCAATAAGCGGGGAGCTCAATGCCCTCGATGATGAATAATCCAACCTGGAAAGGGCACCAGACACGCTACAGATGTTCATACATCTCTAGAGGGGCTCGGGGAGGTGACACAGCTAGAGTGCGAAAACAATACATCAGCGAGATAACCAAGGCTCCAATTAACAAAAAATTGAGGAAGGACCCTATCTTCTTCAACAATATATATCATCTTCCACCAGGTCCTACTGGACAACGGTACGGTAGCTCGGTGAACTTAATGTAAAACGGAAATTACCCCTAATAGGAGTAAAACATAGGAGTAGTTCCAAAATAGAACCTTATGTTTTTTATTCCCAAAATAAGAGTTCAATTCCAATCCTACCCTTATCTATATTTATTTTCTCCGTAGCCCACCCAAACTCCATTTCTTTTCTCCGAATCTTCTCTCCTTTTGTCTCCATCCTCTGACCTCTTTCTTCTGCTCTTGTACGTTTCTCACCAATGGAGTCTAACTCCGTCTTTTCTCTCCCCAGCTCCAGCCACCGGCGAACGGCGGACGACGGGCGGAGGATGGCGGTCGTAGTAGGTAAGGTTCTCCTCCTTCATTCTTTCTTTCTTTCTTCTTCTTCTTCTTCTTCTTCTTCTTCTTCTTCTTCTTCTTCTTCTTCTTCTTTCTTCTCCTTCTCTTCCTCTTCTTCCTCCTCCTCCACCTCTTCTCCACATCCTTGTTGTGTTCGTACTCCTGGTTTTCATCCCTTAAAGTTTTTGGTATATTTTATTGATTTTATTTGTTTAATTTTGAGATTCAAAATAAAATTTGATATTCTAGATCTGAAAATTTTGGTTTTGAAAAGAGAGACTCCTAGAACCAGGATTTTCTGAAAGTCTTGGATCTATTTTTATTTATTTATTACATGGATTTTTTTTATTTATTAATTTTCAGATTCAAATGGAAATTTTGAAAGTCAGGGTAGAAAAATCTGAGGCTCCAAATGTTGAATATCTCAAAATTTCAGATCTGACTTTTAACTTTTAATTAATTTTGAATTTACATACAGAGCATTTAATAATTTGATATTAGTCTTTTAGCCATTTTAAATCTGTAAAATGCCAATTTGAAAAATAATGCCATTTTGAAGATGACAATTTCATATTACAATATAGAAACTTTAATTTAATGCCATGTTTTTATTGTGAAAATGGCATTTCAGAAAATATTATTATTTATGGCACTAAGTAAAGAAAAATGGCAATATTTTCATTATTCCAATATAAACTTGTTATTTATGGCACTACGTCAACAAAAATGGCAAATTTTTCAAAATTTCAATATGAAGTTGTTGTTACAAACATGAATGTCATTAAGATGGCATTCCACTTCCATGATGGCACTTACGGTAGAAATCTCTCCAAGCATGAGGTGGGCACCAATCCTGCCAGAGGAGGTGGTTGTGGTGGGGGAGGTCATCGGTCGTCGCCGGAAATGCTCGTCGCCCGAGCAGATCTATAGGAGCTCATTGGAGTTGCTCATTACCTGAAGAGATCGTTGGAAATGGTTGTTGCCGGAGACGTCAGTGGCCGGAGGCGGCGCTGGCGGGGAGCTGCGGTGGCGCCGCCAAAGGGTGGCGCCGGCGCCGCCGCCGGCGCAGGAGGTGGAGGCCAGTGTGGCAGCAAGCAGGATGCCTAGTTGTGAATGTTTTTATTTGATGTATTTGTTTTTCAATACTCCGTATAAATGTAAACATAACTGACACTTCATTAAGGGTAGAATGGTCAAGTCATATAATTTCTACTCCTATTAGAGATTAAAAAACATTAAACTCCTATTTGTGAACTTTCTTAATGTTTTACTCCTATTAAGGGAATTAACCCAATGTAAAACTGCACCTTCCAGAGTCTTGGCTTAGACAAAACGAACTTAGTCTTGGTAAGGATCCCACTCTAAAGCTTGACTGGGGACTCTATTGAGTATGTGAACATCTTAGTACTCCTGGTGATGGTGGGATCCGAGCCTTGCGTATCCAAGTTAAATGTCGAGTTCATTTTCGTTCGCCTAACTTGTGCGCATGAAATCATCATGGGTGGACCAACCTTAAAATATCTTATGTCCCCAGGGGCATTTATGCATGAAGTTCCCTACTCAAAATGAGGCCGGGGTGGCTCGGGGAGATCAGGGGATGGCTATGAGCAGCTACCTGAAGTCTTGCAAAAAACTAAACCATAAGGACTTGAAGGTCCACACGGTCAATGAAAAGGCAGTAAAGTACAAGAAAGATCAGCTCTACGTTGAAACCACATAGGAAGGCAGGAAGGAAATCTCTCCATCAAAAGGGGAAGGTCCCTACATGTTCAACGTTGTGATTGATGGTCTTAGGGCATACAAGCTGAAAACTACAACAGTTTTCTTAATTCCAGTCCTCCAAACATGGGATTACGACTTTAACGTGGTCAACCCACATTATGAAAATCTTATTACTTTCTAAACGAAATTTTGTAATCAAAGGAGGTCCAACCTCACTTGGTAATGAAGGTTGGCCGAAAAAAAGGGGAAAAAATCACTATACTCCCTCAGTGGTTGGCCAACCTCAACATGGCCCTCGAACAGAAAATATTCATGTGATTTTTCCAAACCCAGGTGATATTCTAAGTATAGAGCTAGCCGCGACAATAGGGCCAACCTCTGGGTCGCGAGTGCTCAGATACCGACCTCCTAGTCCTTCCGATCACTCAATGTCCGACACTGGTGGCCAAGAAGCTTGCACTCTAGCCGACCCTAGGTTGGCGGTGCGGTTCCATTGTGGTTCATCGTGTGGGGTCTGCCCCTGTTATTTGGTCGACCTCATGGAAATAATCAAATTATGCTCTAAGTATGGGGACATACCGAACTGGTCAAGGCGATACTAATACTAACCCCCAGGTCATGGGCATTAAGGGTGGTGAGCTAAGGGTCTGTCTCATACGTTTGGTTTCTGACCACGCTGGACGAACAAGTCGCACACTCGCTAATTTCTTATTAGCAACGAACAAACTCACTGATTTCATATTCTGTCTGATCGGGAGGGGCACAAATAGACTCATGTATGGTTGTCTACCACCCTTGTTAGATGGTTAGAGAAACTGGACCAATGAATAAGTTGCTCGAGTATTCGTCATGTAAACTCTAAAAAAACAAGTGAATTCAAAAGTAATCATCTAGTTAAAAGTTACATCCATCAACTAAGCTAAAGAAATACAAGTACAAAGTCATTACTGGGCGGATCCATCGTTGTTGATCACACTAGTGTAATCGTCAATCACAATGGTGTAGTCATGACCTATGAAGCACGGATACTTCCATAAGGTAGCGTATTGGCGTATCAGATACGTTCCCGTATCCGATATACTCTAGGATACCCGTACCGTACGTTTCCGGGCCGTATCTGCAATTTTTAAAAGTTTCCATTTTTTTTTTTGTAATTTTTTGAAAGTTTCTGATACTCGTATCCTGACGGATACCCGTATCAACTTTTTTTATTTAAAAAAAACAATATTTACTTACTAAAATTCTAAAAAAAAAATGAAAATTTAAAACTGCATTTTACTTGGTAATCAAATAATGGGCCTATATGGCTATATCCAAATTAAGTCATTAACTCATACTCCGAATTGGGTACATGCACTTTTAATTTCAAGATTGTAGTTGTTTGACTTATTTCTCATTTTAAATTAATGACTTATTGACTATATTTATATTTCGAGATACACTAGTGTATATGAGAAATATTATGAATTTATTACTAAGTATCTTGAAAAAAAAATGCTTCAATGCAATGAATGGGTAGACGTCATAAGATATTATATGTATATATTTTATAAAAAAAATATTTTTAATATTTATAAATACACCCCTATAACTTTTATTATTTGTAAATACACCCCATAACTTTTAATATTTATAAATATGGCCCGTATCTGTATCCTACTTTTTTGGGTTTTGACGTATCCCCGTACCCGTTTCCGCGTTTCCGCGTACCGGTATCGGTGCTACATAGGTTATGACTCACAACCACCCCCGTGAAGTTGCTAGGAACCTCAGAAAACTCTCTTGAGCTCAAGATTCCAACGTTGTCCTCACCATGGTCGTCATCTTTCTGATGGATGGTCGCCCCTACATGTTCCTCCTAAAGATTCTTCAGACGCTCAGAAAATCACCATGGGGGGGCATGGAGCTCTACAGACTGCCTTTCTGTGTTTCTCCGTGAGTAAGAATATTGACTACAACTAGTCATATTTTAAGGAGCTCGGATGAAGCTTTCTGACAAATCTTTTCATGCTCTATGCATTCTTGATTTCTTTCAAGGCAGCCTGACCTTATCTCGCCAGCCTTGTGCTGGAGCTTCGCCTAGAGATGATCAATGGCCCGATATGCTCTCAAAATCTTGAATACTGCGCCTTATGAACTAGTGGAAATTTCTAGTATTTTATTGTTAGTATTTAAATCGAACAACATATGCTTTGATGGGTTCATCTTAATATTCAACATAAACATAACATTAAAAATGAAAAACTAATACTACAGTAATATAGAAAATAATGTAATATTGTGCATTTTTATGGGAATTTTTCAAATTAAACTCTGGTGTTAATTTCAATACTTAAGAAAAAATAAATCCCCATATTTAGTTTGCGTACATCAGAATGATTGACTTTTGAAATCATAATTATTGGTAAAATTAAAATTATCACACAAATAATGCGTAATAAAAAAGGATTTATGCATTTAATTAAAAAAATCATGGGTGAATTGATGACGCTGAATTGTAGGAAAAACTGAATTGACTGAATGAATATGTATAAACATGTGAAGAATTTGATTTATTAACGTAGAGAGTTGCGGTTAGTACACCTGCACAAAAACGGGTTCAGACCAGACTTTTTTTTTAAATATTTTGCCCAGTGGATGGGCCTGCCCGGCAAGACACGGTTCTAACCACATGTCCATACCCGCCCTTGATGCAGGCCGGATAGTCAACTGGACCACTCTACCCTAGGGAAACTTTAAAATTTGCATATTAAATAAACTATTTTTAACACTTTTAAATGGATGGTAGCCACTAGCCTACAACCTAATTAGTGCAACAAGTCACGCTCCTCTTCATTTACTTTCTCCATTTCTTTTTCACTTTATCTCTCCGTAAAAAAGAAAAATATGTGGTGTACAAAAAAAGTGTACACATTTTGCGTACACATAACATATCTGTCAAAAAAATAATGAAATCCCATTTTTATTTTCACCTACCCCACCATTCCCATCTTACTCTATACTCTAGTTGAAAAGTCCACTTACCGGAGAGGACAACTACCAAACAACACCATGACGGCAAGCACCCGGAATAGCGGGACAGTAGCTTGCCAATTATTGGTTCCTCAAGTATTCATATTCTGTTTCATTAAAAGAAAAAGATTCTGCTATGGTATATCCATGCCGGGCCCACCCGATCCCTTCCGTAATATCCGATTCATCAGCATCAATTATAAACCATTCATACATACGCAAATGACTAAAAAAGACTATTTGCCAATGCTTTTGCGTGGCTGACATTTGTGTGACTGCTCCAAGGCAAAGGAGCGACCAGAAATAGAAAAGTTTGTTGCTGAAGGAGAAGAAGTGTGATGGAGTCGAGGAAATGGAGTATACTGACTCTTCTACCCCTGCTAGCCTCTTTTCTACTCTTCTATTTCGACATCTCTTCAAAGGTTTGTTTGAATCACAATATTTCATTCACCCCAGCCGGCCCTCTTATATTTAATCTCTCAACATAAAATAGCAGTCCATATATTTTGTGTTATGTTTGTTGTTTTAGATTTAAGATGCTTTTATTTGACTCTCTTCGTACATACCAGACTTAAACGGGCGGACCAGACTTCCATAGTTATAAAATACACAGAAACCACCGATCAAACTTAAACAAAATTTTGACTATTACATTTTGGAGCTGTGTATGGGCGTAGAGAAGGCCTAAAGGGTTAACCTGGGTCCATCCAAATGTCGTCATTTTGTTGTATGCAAAATTCTTAATGTAAAAATATATGAATGGTTTATTCTTTTTAGTGTCAATTTACATTACACGTTCATTTAGTTACTTTGCATTCATTTCTTCAGCCCTCAAGGAGCAAGTGTAGCCTTCAATCTCACAGCCATTTCTGGATTGCTAGCAAGCGTATAGTGACACCAAAAGGAATCATTTGCGGTGCAGGTTTGTTTAGTCTCTTTATTATTGTTATTATTGTGTATAGTCGTATACTATACTTTCTCTGTTAGTATTTAGTTGTAACATTTTGACTTTCACGTTTGACAATACCCAACTCTGACCACTAATATATTTAAATGACTAATAGAAAAGAGTTGTAAAAAATCATATTTTAACAGCTTACTTTGAGTCAAATTTAGCAAAAAATTTCATAACAAAATAGGGAGTATAATTTTGAGTAGTACTAATAAATACAGTATGGTCAAAGTAGAGAGTGGAGTACTATAAAGAAGTCAAGTTTATTAACCAAACTGCTTTTCTCTACATTTGAAAAATAAAAGTTGAGGTGAAGGGAGGAAGCATTATATCTGTGGTTGATGAAGTTACTTGGAGAGGGACGGTTAAGAGTGGAGAGGTATTGGATTATGGGGATGCCGTTGTTATGCCTGGTTTGATTGATGTGTAAGATTACAAAGCTTTTTGCTTCAACTCCTATTCTTATTTTTATTAATTTTTTAAATTGATATTTTTATGATATACTACGTAACATTCTTTTCATGGTACATTGATGGCAGACATGCACATCTTGATGATCCCGGGAGAACTGAATGGGAAGGATTTCCTTCTGGGACCCGAGCAGCCGCTGCTGGTATTCAAACATATATATATATATATATATCTGCATTATTTCTTTTAAACATTTTTTTTAAAATATATGTTTCCAAAAATTCAAGGGCCCCTATATTCTATTATTTAATATTCATTCAGGCATCTGTATGTTAATGGTTGGTTCTGTATGTATACAAATGTTCATTGTACTATATTCATTTTGTACTGTCTCTCCTATTTCCTCTTACAGGTGGTGTAACAACATTGATCGACATGCCCCTTAATAGTTTCCCGTCTACAGTTTCAGAAGAAACTTTGAAGCTTAAGGTGTGCCCTTCACTCCTCCTGCTTGACATTTGAACATTTCCTATTAAAGTGTCCACTATATTTCCGAACCTTATTGCCAAGAATTCAAGGTTGCAACCTTATCCGGCTCTTGTATGTTCTTGGGCTTGTTGGTCTTATTTAAATTTCAAACCCTTAAGAATACCTGGTTCTTCTTTTTCTTGACTCATTGATCTTTGATAAATAAAGGGGCAGCATTTTTCAGGGTCATTTCCCTCTTGATTTTGTAATTCTCTTAATGTTTTACCCCCCCCCCCCAGTCACTATGCTCTCTACTGGGTGCCTGTTTTTGGCCCCTCCAACCAAGCATTAGGCCCTAGTGCCCTACTTTGCTGCCTAGTGCTTTCGACAACGTTGATTTCACTAACAGAATATGTTTGGACAACAGATTGAGGCAGCCAGAGGGAGAATCTATGTTGATGTCGGTATGATTTTGTTGGTATCACTTCATCATACAGTGTGGTACTATTTTTATTAATTTTTCTAATTATTTATTTAGTACTGAACAGGTTTCTGGGGAGGTTTAGTTCCGGAAAATGCATTCAATGCAAGTGCTTTGCAGATTCTGCTGAAAGCGGGAGCCCTTGGCTTGAAGGTAGCTACATAAAAAGTGTATTTTTTTTCCTGCCGGAGTTTTTACTATTACCTGGTTTTAGACAACTAATTCTATCATGATATTTTGACCAACTAGTTGAAACTATTATTTAACATGAACTGTCATGCACTTAATTTGTATAATTTTTGTTATTGCTGTTGCAGTCCTTCATGTGCCCTTCAGGCATCAATGACTTTCCTATGACAAATTCATCCCATATTAAGGTTTGTAGAATATACTCCCTCCTACTACAACATTTTCTGTTCTCATGTACTCTAATTGCACCGGGATATGATCTTCTAATCCAAAGATGTATCTCCTTATTTTATATGGCATTTAACCCTTCAAATTATCTCTCTGTGCATTTAGCTTGTCATAGTGAGTTTTTGACAGTACAGTTCTGTAGGTTATGTTTGTTACTTGAGTTTTATATGGGGTTTCTTCTTTTTAATAGGAATCGCTTTACCTTACTAAATTTTGAAAATAAAATATATAAATGATAAAGAAGTATTACGGTATTACCTCAATTATTTTATTCATATATTTATAAATACAAACCATATATTGTTCTCTTATTTTAAAATATATAAGTATAACACTTCCAAATTCTAACTCCCAAACATACCCTTAAAGTGATTGACTTTTGCAATTAATGTAGGAAGGACTGGCTGTGCTGGCAAAGTACAAAAGACCCTTACTTGTACATGCAGAATTGCAAGAAGAGCTTGAGAATGAATTTGACTTCAAAGATGATGGTACAGATGATGCTAGATCTTACTCTACATATCTTAAGACAAGGCCTGCATCATGGTAAGAATCGTCATTGCTGTAAAAGAACCATTCTTGTGGGTGTTACTGTGTATTTACCATCTTTTATCTGATCATTCTCTACAGGGAAGAAGCAGCGATCAGAGAGCTCTTAACAGTAACAAAAGACACTCGGCCAGGTGGCTCTGCCGAGGGTGCTCATCTTCATATTGTTCATCTATCTGATGCAAGGTCTTCTTTAGAGATGATTAAGGTATCCAAAGTCCTTTTTTACGTCTTTTGTCTTTCTTTTGGACCTTAATAAGACTGGCGCTAAGGTGGGATCAGGCGGTGCGTAGAAAGATTAGATGGGGTGAATCTGAGAGAAGAACATAGGGAAGCAGCCCAAAGGGAGTTTAGTGTCTAGGCGGGGATTTTAGAACATAGACCTATAGGTGTTTAGCTGTAATCAGCCATTGCATTTCTTTGGTCCCTTCGTACTCAATATCTTTATATCTTCATCTTTACATGCATAGTTTCTTGTTTACTGAACAGCAAGTAGCCTTTTCAGATGGTCAAACCTCTCCAAAAAGCCGTTTGCCAGACATGCCCATAATCCATATGTATAATGAAGCCAATCAGCTATTGTATTAATTTGGTCCCTTTGTGACCAATACCTCCATTCATACCTGCACTACGTTATTATTAAATTTCATTAGGTGTTGTTTTTCTTTCCTTTTTCTTTCAAATGTTGGAATTTAGGTTAATATGTACTACTTATAATTATTTCATACTACAGGAAGCAAAAAAGAATGGAGATAGTGTGACTGTTGAAACATGCCCACATTATCTAGCTTTTGCAGCCGAAGAGATCCCTGATGGCGACACACGTTTCAAGTGCGCTCCACCTATCCGCGATTCAGCCAACAGAGATCTATTATGGGCTTCTCTATTGGTTATTTCTTACTCTTATCATACTATGAAGAATCACAAGCTGGTCTTATTGTTTCCTTAGGGTCTGTTTGGATGGAGGGTTTTTGGAGGGGATTGTTGTGGATGGCTTAGTGTTACGGACCTAGCCCATACTAGGCCCATACCAGTGCCATAAGCTCAGGTGTAGAACTCACTCCTAAAAGACCAGCCGATTAGGAGGAGGGAACATCTTGCTTATAAGCCACCAATCAATCCCATAATTGACCGGTGTGGGATCGTAACACTTAGTTTATATATTTTGATAAATAGAATGTTTATGAAAGTCAATGAAATGTGATCAAAATGTTACAAGATCATATTATATGTTAATTTCAATTTCTAATAGATCCAAAGTATATATATCAAGATATAAACTAAGCCCTCCATAATAGTTCCCTCCGTCCAAGCAGGGCCTCCGAAATATTTTCAGGAGTTCTTATTGAGGCTTCATGCATGTCTTTCAGGATGGAAGCATAGACATGTTAAGCTCAGACCATTCTCCTTCAGAGCCAGATCTTAAGCTCTTCAGTGAGGGAAATTTCTTGAAAGCATGGGGTGGCATATCCTCTTTGCAGGTCTTCATTGTTCTCTTATTAGCTATATAATTAGTTTTGAGGTGCTTTGTGGTGATTGCATTTTAAAGGTGGCAACCTGGTGTTTTTTAAGTGAATGTGCAGTTTGTTCTCCCCGTAACATGGACATATGGGAAGAAATATGGAATTACATTAGAACAGATGGTTTCATGGTGGAGTGAGAAGCCCGCTAAGCTTGCAGACCTTAATTTAAAGGTAAACATCCCTGCCAAAATCTGGCTGAACCCCTGCCCCAATGGTAGGCTTCTCTGCCAGTCTGCCGCCTAATTATAATTATTGTTGTTGTGGTCCTTGTGTTTTTACTAGTATTACTACTAGTTGGAATATTTCACATAATATTACTCAAATTAAAGTATGGACAAAAATGACTATAGTCACTCCGGAAATACCACAATACTAACTGCATGGTAAAAATAGAAAATGACTAGTTACTCCGAAAGGCCACATTATTATTGGTCACGTTGTCATTGGACCATGGATTACAAAGAGATTAGAATTAGGCTGATTACAGTGAATAATCTCTAGACATCTTTGGCCGAAGATTTTGGGGCCTTGGTCACTTCGTCACAAGCCCATGTAGCCACCCATGCAAGGTGGGCTTGTAGCCTAAGGTGCAGGCCTTAGCCTGCTGTACGCTAGTGCTTAGTTTGATTTAGAACGCCTGGGTCAAAGTTATACAACGTCTTGCTTCATATACATTTCTATATCCATTTGGGAAGTTGAGCCTGTATTATCATCTTCATGTATTGGACATGCTTAGTTTGTTAAAGGTAGATACACACCAATCCTTGGGTTTATGTGTGCAGGGCTTATTTGTGAGTGGGAATGATGCTGATATTGTAATCTGGCAACCAGAAGCCGAGTTTGAACTGGACGATAGTCATCCTATCCACCTCAAGCATCCTGTATGTATTTCTTCATCCTTTTACTTGTTTTTCTTACATTTCACATTTCCTGACCTTATTGTGCCCCATTTGGCGAGGGTGAAATTCGGTTATGAATGAGTCGAGTTTGTTGCGGTTATGGATGAAATGACATGATGAACTATAAAGTGCCTGTTTGGTAAGGGTGAATTTGGTTGAAACAGAGAATATATATACATGCATGAAAAATGGCTGAAACGATCATCTTCAACAACTTGAAGTCTCGAACCAGTCCAGCAAAAAAGAATCTCTATCGTTGTTATTTCATTACCAACTAATACTAATTTTGTGTGCGTAGTCAAATTATTCAGGGTTTAGAAAATACTTTGGATGATAAAACTGATAAGCTGAAAATGTATGTGCCTAATGGCCACAGCAAGAGTGCTGCCAAACAAGGACCAATGTCGTGATGACACTTGTTTATAATCAAACTGTGCAGAGTATATCTGCATATTTGGGATCAAGACTCTCAGGGAAGGTTTTGGCTACATTCGTGAGAGGAAACCTTGTTTTTGAAGAGGGAAAACATGCCCGAGATGCTTGTGGTGTCCCCATTCTAGCAAAATAAACAGAATTCACCAGACTCAATTGATGAATCTTATGGTAAAAAAAATTCATGGTTCTTATAAATTGAATACTACACCGGCAGTACGAGAGAGCTATACTTTTGTCTTCACAAGATGTCTGGTCTATGTTTAGTCATCTCCAAAAGGATGGTATTATTTTTGGGGGAGTGGGGAAGCAGTGTTCATAAATCTGTTGGTGGTTTGCACCTTTTAACTGGTTCTCTCCCCCGGTTTCATTCATGCTGTCAAATTTAATCCTATTAATAACATTAATAACCACAATAACATCAATGGTAAATGTTTGTTGGAGAAAGATTTAAATATCTTTATATTCTTTTTGATGATTCTGATTTCCCCGCCAATTACATGCCAATTTTGAAATTCCAACACAGTTTTGCCCAATTGAGATAGTCAATCTGCCATGAGCACGGACAATATTCATCAAATCTGAAATAAGGATGGACAGTAAATAATTCATTCCAATTTGAAATAAGGATGGACGGAAAAAGGGTCATATACACCCTTTTACTATATCAAATAAATCATTCCAATCCTTCTACTAAAAAACCATCACATAGATACACTTAGGACGTGTTTACTATGCCGTTTAATTCACCGTTAGCTTATTAAGAACTTAAGAAGGTTGAAGTAAACATCCGTGGCCGGGTAAATGCGTGCTTACTACCCCGTTACCCCACTTAATCGGCGTTTGTTAAACGCCCCCCTCCCCCATGTTTTATTTAGCCGGTGAGTTAAGTCATTTATATTGACCATCCAGTCCTCATTTTGTAGCCTTGTAGATTTTGTATTACATCTATGTCCTAACATCACGCCCTCCTCATATCTACGTTTCTTCCAAATTCGATCTCCTCCAAAGTGTCTCTCAGACACAAGAAAACTCTGCTCTCTCGGGTACAAGGCGTCTAACACCAACGAACTCCTCCAATGTCGCAATTGATGCCCCAGTTGACATACTAAGGTCAATACATACATACATACATATATTCGAAGTGGCGGAAGAGCATAAAAGGCCTTGTTTTTGCTCCTGAGATTCCTTTTAAGAGAATCGCTACAGTAGTTATGTATATGTATATATGTTCGAATAGAGATAGAGAATCAATTCGATTGAACAAGAAAACTCTACCTTTATTAATTGATCTTATGGACCGAGCAAAAAACGGAAGAAGAAAGTAGCCAGAGATGATGGACTTACGACATTTCTTCGTCAATGGAGATGATAAACGGCTGGTGTGTTTCTAGCGATATAGAACAGCCGATGACATAGGTAAGATTTAAGGTTATTCTTGTCATTTTGTATAAAGTAGGTATTTTAAGCCTAATGAAGTACACACATCTTTAATAAGCATCTCTTAGTAAGCATTAGCTTATTAAGCCATGTTTTACTAAGACCGTTTAGTATACAATGAAGTAAACATGTCCTTAATATTAGAAAAGCATCACATATGTCAAGATACCGGGTGAATATCTGCTGTAGCAGGTCATTGATACCGGGTGAATACCTGCTGTAGCAGGTCATTGGTTGATTTCACATATTTTTTTTCATATGTAACTACGTATACGTAGTTCTCAACCTCCTATTCCCTAAAAACAACAGTTCTCAACCTCCTCACTAACATTCTCGTTTTCTTCCTTTATTGTTTTCCCTTTTCATTTTTTGTATTTGTTTTCATTTTTTGTCTTCCACTAAAATGCAAAATTCCCTTTCCCTTGTCTTTACTTTAATTTTTGGGAGCTTAAAATTAATTCCAAAAATGGGACTAACTTCCTATTCTACTCTTTCCCTTGTCATTCTTAATAGGATTTTTACAAAATATTTTAAAACATAAAAAAGGTCAAATAAAAAACAAATAAAACAGAAAAATTAAATAAAAATATACAGGCCTCAACCACTACTTCAACCACCTTCCAGCATCGTCGCCTCTGATCGCCGAAAAAGAATGTCAAGTTGAAAAAATGTCATCGTGATGATAATTTTGAAAAAGAAATCTGAATATTTTCAAAGAGTAAAAATGTCATCTTCATGCATGGCATTTTCATAGGAATGTGACATTTTTACACAAGATGACATTTTTTCGGCGACCGGAGCTGGTGGTGCTGAGAGGTGGAGGATGAGGTGAATTTTTAGGAATGGCCTTTAAAAAAATCAGGAATTTTTAAATACTTTTTATGTTTTTTTTTTGTTTTTTATTTCCCGTTTTTATTATAAATTTATAAATACTTTATTTGTTCCATGTGTATTTAATATGATAAATGTCAATATGTCTTCCCCAATTGTCCGAATTTAAGTAAATGGAAATTTCATTGTTAAAATTGAACTAACACCATTTGTTTGTTGTAACTTTGACACAATTACAATTATAATTTTAGACGAAGTAAAAAATTACACATTTTATACACAATTTCAATATCCTTCACACCAACATTGTTTTTGTCTCTAATGTTAGCGCATAGATAAAAATGTCGAACACAAAAAATTAAATTTATAAACAAGAATAGTTTGATACGTAGCCTCGTACAAAAAAATCAGGCTGAACAAAAAAGTGTATAATTTTTTGTGCTACACATTTATTGTTTGTAAAAGTAGTTTTTTCGACCGATATGCTTTATATATTTTACAAACATAAAATACCATTGAGAAAGATTTTGAAAACGTGTACAAAAATATACTACCTCCATTCCATCTCTTTGAAAGGTTTCATGACAAAACGACATGATTCTTTAGACAATAATTAAATAAGGTGATTCGAGTATATTTTGAGAAATAGTTTTAATAAGTATATAATATAATGGGATTAGTAGTGTTGGTAACAATGATGTTAAAAATGTATTATTTTTAATATTTAATGATTAATTTGTCATTTAAGATTGTTATTTTTTTAAAAAATGGAAATGCGAACCTTATATGAGACATTCAAAAAGGGAAAGTGAGAACCTTCTATGTGACAGAGGGAGTACTAGTACAATTTAAAACTTCGTCTGAAACATTTTTTGTCCGTACCAAACATCTATTGTTTATAAAATTAGATTTTTTCTATCGACATTTTTTCTATAACCTTACTTTACTTAATTTTTATACAATTTTTTATCTTGTCTGAATCATTTTTATCTGTAGTAGACATTTGTTATCTAGAAAATTAGATTATCCGACTATTTTTTTCACCGACAACTAAGAGACTATATTTCAATATCACAAAAGCACTATGAAATATTAAAGACGATTTAAATAATTAAATACTATTCTTCTTATTTTTTGATAAATCAAGTTTTTTCTTTATTATTTCTTACTTCTAAACTACTACTCATTAACTTCTTCCCTACAAATTTATTTTCTTCTTTTATCTTTTTCTTTTCAGCTATGCTTGTCCGTTTTTGGGAATCCAAAAGAGAATGAACGAAAAAAGAAAAAATTGAAAATGAAAAGAAAAGGGGTAGAAAGTTGTGGAGCTCCATTCATTCAAAAGAAAAGTGAAACCAAGATAAAAGAATAAGGGAGAAGGACAAAAAATGACACTAACATTTTTAATGAAGTTCGGATATGACATTCAGGTTTTTGGTGGACCAAATAAACACAATTTAAACCTTTTACCCTCATTTCTAACCACCCACTAACTTCCCCGTTCAAACCACCGTTGCCCTGTTATGAAGCCCCTTCCCTGCCCTAAAACCACCGTTATGAAGCCCCTTCCCTTCCCGTTATGGACCAGTTTTTAGTTAAAGGTTTGCAGACGGGACACATTTTGTAATTCATCATCTCCTACTTCCTTTGAATTATAAACTATCGTATTCTTTAAATACACATCTAATTGAGCACTCAAGTAGGATTGTGTTTAATCTAATTTAAACATTCACTTCGGATGATGCTCTGTATAATAACAATATATAGAAAAGAAGGTTTAGGTGATCTTTCTTTATTTATTTAAATAGCATTTTTGTGGTAAACCAAATCCAATATTTTAGCATGCTAAATGATTAAGAAGTATTTTGTCTTAATACTTTATTTGGTGTTGTTACTTAGGGGAGTAGTATATTATCCATCCTGTTTAGTCGTGATGGTATAGCTTGATTTTCCTACTTTCTGAAATGCTTAGTGAAATGGGATACATGACAAATAAACAATCCAACTCTCCAAGTATGCCAGGATTTACGTGTCTCTATAAATGTTAAAAACTCCAATTAAGAAAGTGAACTACGGAAAAATAGAAAAGCAGGTTTATTTGGGTAAGTCAGTGTTACAAAACAATTAAATACAATAATTGAAACATGCAGGGGCGGATGTATTATGTAATCGATGGGGGCACATGCCCCCAATGAAGCCAAACTTTTTAGTGTAAATACATATACATATCATTAATGAAAATGGTAGTGCCCCCAATTAAAAAAAATCATGCCCCCAATCCCCCATTAATTTGTATTAACTCAATTCTAAAAAATGGGTGGACAAATGCATGTACAACGTAATCGGTTTACTTAAATAATATCAACATAATTAATTCAATAATAGAGTTGATTTGTATTAACTAAATTCAGGCTTTGATTATAATTCTTCCAAAAAAACTAACTTCAGGCTTTGTATGAACTAAATTCAGCCCCGCACCTTTATCCATTTTAATTTATATTATGTATTTTTGAAATATTTATTTTAATGATATAATGGCATTATTAAAAATCACTGTCAACTCCTGTGCTTACTACATTTTTTTCCTAAGTCGGTAATTTGCTATTTCCTATCTTGCTAATTAGAGTCTTCACTGCAATTGTATATTTTGTTAATTTTGTTAGTTCATTCTACTTTCTGTATTTAATTGCATCTTTGAGAATGAATAGCTCAATTTTATAGTTTAAGTTTGAAAAAATTGTTCATTGTATAGTTCACGAGTATAACTTTATAAATTTTACATATTTGAATAGATTAAACAATGATATTAAGATACTATAAAAGAAAATCATGACCACCACACAATCAAAGCCACGTAGAAAATTCAAGTGTTAATGTATCAAATAGTTCTCCTTTTATGCTTAATAAAGTTACAATCGAAGTTGCGGTGGATGATTTTCAATGGAAACTCTTAGAGAGCAGTTATAATGAAATTTAATACTTTTTTGTTAATATTGGATTATTTATTTTTTGAAGTATATTTATACTACCTCTGTCCAGAAAAAAAGTTCTCAATTTCTTTTATGAATGTCTAAAAATGTTATCATTTTTGTAAAAGGAAACCACTTTTAAGTAAAAAGTCACAACTATATTTTTTTCACCTACTTTTTGTTTGATTTAAGGGAAACTCACACTTTTAGTCCCTGAAATAGTCACGAAATTGAAATGTCTGACCTGTG